CCCTAAGCTGGGAATGGCCGCCGTGTGTGTGTGCGTGTGTGTGTGTGTGTGTGTGTGTGTGTCCATCTGTGTGTGTGTGTCCGGGTGTGCTGGAGTGGGGGCGCAGGGTGATGGGCCTGGATCCTGCTGGAGAGGATTGTTGAGCACGTCTGTCTCGTGCCTGTCTCCCGTAGCCCAGTGCCACCCCAGCTCTGCCTGGCACCTGTGGCCGACTTCTAGACAGTTTTCCTTCCTCACACCTGCTCTCCTTCAGGCTTTCTGCCCCCTGCAGCCGGAGTGTGTTTTTGGAACAACTCTGTTTTCCATTCCCCTCCTTTTAAACCCCTAACCTACCGTCTTCCACCTTAGCCCTCCCCTCATGGCTTCCTGTTGCTAGGGTCCAGTTCCCGGACTACGTCACTCTCCAGCCTCATTTACCCCATGCTCTCCCCCACTCTCCACCCGAAGCCCTGAGGCCTTCTCCCCTCTCCTTCCTTCCCACCCTGGGGGCCTGGCCTGCCATGCTTTCTCCTCCCACTGCCCCCCCACAGCCCCCCCACTGCCTTCGTTCCCACTCTGTCAGGGCACAGCTCTGCCGCCATTCCTGGGAGAACCCACCCCTGCCAAACCCGCATCTGGGTCCCCACTCCCAGGGCCTGCCTCACTCCCTCCTGCGGGGCTTCTGCCATTCCTAGTTACCTTCTCACCTGGGTGGCTGCTTGGCCATCTGCCTGCCACACCTGTGTGAAGCTTGAGGAGAACACTTCAGCTTTGCCCGTGGTTACATCCCTGTCCCCGCGCAGGGCTGGGTGTGTGGTAGAGGCCTGATGAATATTTATTAAATGAAGAAAGGGAATGCATATTCATCTTTAATTAATTTGCTTATAGATGTTAATATGTAACTGAGCCAGCCAGCAGTATGGTGGTTGAGGCAGCTGAATCCCACACGGCCGACTACACAGTTCAAGTCCCGGACCCGGTGGCTTGAAGAACATGCTGGGCTCTGAGCGTGTCCAAAATCCTGAGATGAGAATGGAGGAAAAGGGACTGCAGTGTGGCTATCCACCCCGGGGTGCTTTCTCACTTTCCCTTCTCCTCTCTTTTTCTCTCTCACCAGTGAGCATATGCATCCTATAGCAAATATGTGTGTGTGTGTGTGTGTATATATATATATATATATATATATATATACACACATAAAAGCTTCTGGGTGATGGGAAAACAGATGAAAGATGAGGATTTCTGGGACCAGTTGGTGGTATGGTGGTTAAGGCACTGGACTCCCACATGGGTTGATCGCTGTTTGAGTCCCAGACCCAGTGGCTTGAAACTCATGCTGCGTACATGTGCGTGCATGTCCAAAATCCCAAGAGGAAAGCAGAAGAGAAGAGATTGCAGTTTGGCTATCTCCCCTGGGAGGTGATTTCTTGCTTCCTGTCTCTCTGTCTCTGTGTCTCTCTAGCAAGCACCTGTACCCTATAGCAAAATTCTCAAAAAAAAAAAAATGTTTTTTAAAGATGAAGATTTCTCCAATATTCATTGCTCCCTTTCTAGGGCTCCGACCGTGAGTCAGGCCCCATACCAAGCAGCTTGTCTCATTACTCAGAGCCCGACCTGACCGAGTGGGCGCTATCACCCCCACTTGGATGAGAAAACTGAGTGTGTGACCTGGTCAGGCCCCACAACCAGCAAGAGGCAGGGAAGCCAGGCCTGCCTGACTTTCTACCGAATGTCCCTCTCCCTCGGGGTCCGAGGGCAGATGGGGGGGCCACAGACGTGGGGGTCCTGGCAGAAGGATGGGTGAGGGACTAGTGGAGATAGGCCTCCCTCTGAGAGGACAGTCTCTGGTGCTGTGAGGGGACAGGAGGGAGCAGTTGCTGACTCACAGAGAGAGCCTAGTGCCTGGCCATGTATGACTAGGAGAGCTAAAAGTTCCAACCTAGGCAGGAATTCTCGGGGCCAGTTGGTGGCTTAGTGGTTAAGGCACTGGATCACCACATGGCCAACTGTGGTTTGAGTCCTGGACCTGGCAACTTGAAAATCACACTAGGCACATGTGCTTGCATGCCCAAAATCCCAGGAGGAGAATGGAGGAGAAGGGACTGTGGCATGGCCATTCCCCCGGAAGGTGATTTCTCACTTTCCCTCTCATTGTCACTGTCTCACTGGTGAGTGCATGTGCCCTATGGCAATAAATAAATAAACAAACAAATAAATAAATAAATAAAAATAAAGAATTATCTTTGGGAAGCGAGTCCAGCCAAAGATTCTAGATGCTCAGTTCCACGAGGGAAGTCATATTTTGTCCATAGATTACATTCAATGCCTAGGAAACTCCTGACACATAGTAGGTGCTCAGTAAAGTTTTGGCCGGCCTCATCATGAAATCAGCAGCCAGCTGGAAGCCTTCCAGACTAAAAGTTAACATTCTTGGCCTGCTTGTGGTGTACCAAGAACTCTTTGGAATGCTTTGCCTGAATTGGTGAGTTGGACCCTCTGAGCAGCCCAGCTGATAGGGACAAAGTGGTCAGGAATGACCGAAAGCCCAGGAAGCTAGAGAGCAGGGACAGCGGGCCCCATGTCCCTGCCGTTAACCTCTGCTGTGCTATAGTGGCTCCCAGCACCGTTGGGCTAATGTTCCAGTCCTTAGCTAGGCTCACAGGGTGCTCTGTGACGTGACCATCCCAGCCCCCTGGCCTCGTCCTCTCTGCTCCTGCTCACAGAACACCTAACACTCCAGCACGCCTCACACATCTGCACTTGCCCGCCCTTTTCTTCTCTGGCGATTACCCTCTCTGTTCCTGCTCCCCGCTTCACATCTGGCTAATCCCCATTAGTCACACAAGGCTCAGCTCACGTGTCCCCTCCCCCCGTCCTGCAGTGCCCCTGTGCCGACATTCTGGTGCCATTGCTCGTTTGCACGTCTTCCCAGCCAGAGCATCAAGTCTTCTGAGGGCAGAAGCCTTGTCATGTCTTCCAGTGCGTCCCTCAGCGCTTAGCCCAGTGGCTGGCACAGGACAGGCTTTTAATAACTTTAGGTAAGGGGCCGGCAGGTGGCATGGTGGTTAAAGGTGCTGGACTCCCACATGGCCGATCATTGTTCGAGTCCTGGACCTGGTGGCTTGCTTTCTCACTTTCTCTCCTCTCTCACTCTCATTCTCTCTCATTCTGTCTGTCTCTGGTCAAATTTTTAAAATACATAAAATAAATGAAGTTAAATATAATAATTCTTAAAATGATATATTGGGTAGATGGATGGATGGATGGAAGAGCTGGACAGGTGGATGGGTAGGTGGGTGGATGGAGAGATGACAGTGAGGTGGACAGGTGGGTGGGTCTATGGACAGACAGATGGACAGGGAGACAGGCACGCACAGGGAAGTCTGGGATGAAGACAGAGATTTTGGTTTGATGGGAAGAAGTGGAAGCCGTGCTCTGAGCCAGCCTCTCCAGCCCCCACCTCAGCCTCCTCATGTCTCACCGTCTTCCACAGCTCTTCCTGAACCCGATAAGTATGGAAGGGGCTGTTTCCCTTATCCTGGCCATCAAGAAGAACCCCAAATCCAGAATGGAGGAACTTGACATTTCTGTAAGTGCCCCAGGGTGCAAGGCAGTGGCCACGCCCACTCGGTGCAGGCCCGTGCCACCGTGCTGTCCTCACGGGCCCTCACACGACACTCCTTGTTAAGGCCACTCCTGTCGGTACCTCTCTGCCTTCTCTCAGGGTCCTTTCAGTGGGAATAACCAACCACTAACGGTGTAATGGGTAATTATCGGATCCTGGGCACCCAGGACATAAGTACCTGAGGGTAGAGTGAAGGGCAGAAGGACTCCCAAACACAATGTTTACCCTCAGCCTCGTTAATGAAGGGCCTGGGCCCCAGCAGAGTTCCAGAGGTACACAGTTTTTAGAATCTGGGTATGAAAGCATACACGTTTATCTCTTCATTTCACGACGCAGCCTGTTGTGCTCAGAGTAGTATCAAAAATATTGGAGGGTGTGCACCATTCACCGACAGCTGGGCGGGGGTTACAAGGCAACGTGAGGCCGCCCTGCCAAAAGACCCTCCTCTTGTTGGCAAGCCCATGAGGGTTAAAATTCAGGGCAGCCTGAGGGGTGACCACACACCCCTGCCTGGAGAGTGCTGGTATCATCACAGAGGTGGTAACTGGTAATAACCTTATCTTGGGGACCAGCTGATGGTGTAATGGTTGCGTGCCTGGACTCCCATGCAGTAGACTACAGTTTGAATCCCAAACCCGGTGGCTTAAAACTCATGCCAGGCGCATGTGCATACATGGCCAAATCCCAAGAGGAGAATGGAGGAGAAGGGATTGTGGCGTGGCCATCCCCCCTGGGGGGTGATTTCTCGCAACTCATGCTGGGTGCATGTGTGTGCACCCAAAATCCTGAGAAGAGAATGGCGGATAAGGTATTGCAGCGTGGCCAGCTCCCAGGAGGGTGATTTCTCTTTCTGTCTCTCAGTCTCTCCAGCGAGTACACACACTCTATAGCAAAATCTTTCTTAAAAAAAAAAATATATATATATTTTTTTTATTTGTTATTATTTACTTTTTAATTTGACCAGAGAGAGAAAGAAAAAGTAAAAAAGCAAACCACTAGGTCTGAGACTCAAAGCGCAGTCAGCTACATGAGAGTCCAGCACTTTAACCACCACACCACCTGCCGGCCCCAAGTACCATTTCATAATTTTTTTTTCCAACGTTATTTTACATAGGCCTGCTGGCTGATCGCAGGTTCAGATCCCCCCATCCACCCGAAAATGCTCTGGGCACGTCCACTCTGGGCAGCGCCCGGATCCTTACGCGTTGGAGGGCTGGGGGAGGGGTTGCAGCAGGACCAGCCCCGGTCAAGGAAGCTGCTCTCTCTGCCTGTCGAGGGTTTGCATGTTCTCTACCACAAATAAGATAAATAGACTTAAATCACATGGGAAACTCACAAGTCAAGGTGAGCTCTGACACCAGGACTGCCCCAAGCTAGGAACGGCGCTGCGGAACAAATCTGCGGACTCTGGCTTAGATGGAAGGGGGGAGGGGGCATGCACAGTGGTGGTGCCCTCGCCACAGTGGGTCCCCTCCGTCCACAGAACGTGCTGGTGACCGACCAGTTCACCAAGATATTGGAGGGCGTGTACGCTGTTCACCCCCAGCTGGACGTGGAGTACAAAGCGGCGCCAGGCTGCTCCGCCAAGAAGACCCTCTTCTTGCTGACAAACCCCATGAAAATGATCCAGGTGAGCTCCTGTCTTCCTCCTAGAGCCCCCGGGAGCCCTGGAGGGAGCAGGCTGGCTCCAGATCAGCTAGCCAGAGTCTCCCCCTGTCCCCAAGTGTTTGTACAATCCTCTGACAAGGAACAGCTCAGCTCCTCCGACGGCAGACATGGAATACTCCCTGGGGGCATGGAACCGTCAGAAATGCTCTCGAACCACCAGAGAAAGGGAGAGCTGACAAGTGCCCAAAGTGGGAGGGGTGTGGCACAGGACCGATTCTACCCCCCAGCATCCTCCACTTGCCCATGTGCCACTAAGTGGCTCGCTCTGCCTCAGTCCCCTCACCTGTAAGTGGCCAAGGCCATAGTGCCCACCCCTGGAGGAGAGCTTGGAAACTTAAATTAGGAAGCATGCACGAGGAGCTTAGAAGAATGCCTGGCACTCAGTAACCCAGGTTCTTTCTGACAACTGGTAAGGGTGCTGAGACACCCTATGTTCAGGGTAGCTGTTTGGTGACTTCAGCTAAAGAGGGACATTCAAGGCCTTATTTCTAGTGGTAAATACCACCTGGTTCAAGTCTTTGCTTAGATGGTCTCTGGCAATCACAGGAGGCAGACGAAGCAGTAGACAAGAAAAATCAGAAAATATTAGAGCCGAAGGAGACGTTAATGCTCCTCTGGTCCCCTCACCTCACAGAGCAGGGACCTGAGCTTGCCTGGTGCTCGCACCTGGGCTCTCGCCTGGTGGCAGAGGTGAGGAGCCCGATGCGGGCTCGCTGGCTGTTGCTACCCGGGAAAGCGGTAGCTGGGAACATGGGGATGCTGGGTGAATGCAGGTTCCGCAGGGCGTGTGCGGCCTGCCTGGCCAGTCTGCTCCATGCCTCACTTTCCAGAACTGAGTAAAAGGGCTTTGCGTGAAAATTATTGGAGTATAAAAAGTTCTAGAAGATAAGAGACTAGCAAGTATTTTTGCAAGTAAGATGACCTTACACAGAACCAAGGGGAAAGCTGTTTTGTAAAGGGAGCAGGATGCTCCAATGGACAGGAGACAGTTGTCTGATACAAAGTGGGGACCCTGCCCCTAATTTAAAAAAAAAAAAAATTGAAGAATTATTTTATTTTACTTTATTTATTTATTTATTTATTTTCATTTTTACCAGCGAGAAACAGAGAGACAGAGAGAGAGAGAAAGCAAGCCACCAGGTCCTGAATTCGAACTGCAGTTGACCATTTGGGAGTCCAGCACCTTTAACCACCATGCCACCTGCTAGTCCCACCTGCCCCTTGTTTTAAAGGAGTGTATAGAAAGACTCTTGGAGGAGAGATCAGACAAGTCACTCGGTGTAAAACAGTCCTTCCAACAATCTGGCTGGAAAGGCAAATCCGATACAGTAATGACCAACAGGAAGTGTCATATTACAACACGGAAGTGGAGTCCGAAAATATTTCAGAATCCAAGTTAGAGATCACCATAGGAGTGGACAAACAGAAAAGGGCAATGTCTTGGCAAAAGAAAGTCTAGGAAAGTGCCTTGAAAAGCAAATACGGGGGCTAGCAGATGGCGTAGCAGTTACGTCACTGGACTCCCACATGGCTGACTACGGTTCAAGTCTTGGACCCGCTGACTTGAAACTCACACCAGGTGTGTGTGCCCAAGATTCTGGGAGGAGAATGGAGGAGAAGGGATTGCAGCGTGGCCATCCCTCTTGGGGGCTGATTTCTCACTTTCCCTCTCAGTGTCTCTGTTTCTCTCTCTCTCTCTTCCAGCCAGTGCATGTGCCCTAAGGTTAAAAACCTTTCAAAAAAAAATCAAAACATGGGACCAGCAGTTAGCGTAATGGTTATGTCACTGGACTCCCATGTAGTCGACCACGGTTCGAGTCCCAGACCCGGTGGCTTAAAACTCACGCCAGGTGTGTGTGCGTGCATGCCCAAGATCCTGAGAGGAGAATGGAGGAGAAGGGATTCCAGCGTG